GCTCAGAGTTTATAGAAAGAGAAAAGTCTGTTTTCTTTGATGCTCAGAGAGTACCCTTCAATACGTGTTACATCTTTCGGTTGTTGTTTATGTGTTTGGTTTTGGGTTTATTTTGTAGAGGAAAATGTTACTTACAGGTGCAAGTTCAAAAGCTTTGGGGTAGCATTCTTAGTTTTTACTGTTAAGTGAAAGAGCGCCCACCAGATATTCCGATGTCGCTCTCTTTCTTTCTGTGCTTGTCTTCCTTTCCCCATGGGCTGCCCTGTACTGCTGCTCCAGCAGTGGTGATGGTGAAGTGATGCTCCCAGTGTAATTTTCTACTGTGGGGCACAGAGTCAGCACCAGCACTTCAGTAGCAATGGCAGAGTTGGTATTAAAAAAGGTCAGTTGGGAAAACTTTGTTCATTTGGTTTTCCTTTGCCTTGAGGCAGTGCTTTGAATAGCGTTAGCCCTTTTTTCTTCCCACACGATGCCTTTTCACCCTTTTTCCTTCCTGCCAGCTTTGACAGAAAGTTATGTTCAAAAGGTAGTGCGGGTGATAGCGTGCATCACTTTTGGGGTGGGAGTGACCATTTGTGCTTGGGAGTGTTTGTGCTCTGGGAGTAAAATCCGCTCCTCTGCCTAGAAGCTTAGTAGGAGAGCAGTACATCAGAAGCAGTTTGGAGTGTAGTGTAGCGATTCTTAGGTATTATAATCTCAAGGGTAAACAGTAAACTTTGTTTATTCAAATGCGATATCTCTCTTTGAAGTTCTGTTCTTGTCTAAATTTGTATACTAGCAGGTCTGGCCTTCATTTAAATGACCCTTGGGGTTTTTTCATGCCACTTAGGAAAAAAAAAAAAAAAAAAACAGTGGGAAAGCCTTGACTAACCTAATAGTATTGCTAAGATGGAAATGATGAAGGCTCAGGATTCCTGTTTGGACCTCATGGGAAAAAGTGGTTTGAAATGCATGGTGGGAGGTTGCGCATTCCTAAACCTGTCATTTTTTTCCCTCTTTCTTCTCCCCCACTGCGTTCTTTACTAAATACTACAGTATGTTTAATGAAACCAATAAAACTATTTGGCCAAGAGTGTTAATCTTTCCCTGGCCCAATTAGTGCATGGCTTCTACTTTTAACATTAATGTGGATTTTTTTCGGAAGGCAGAACAATAAGCAGCTTTGTGCTGTGTGTACCAGGTTTTCCCCCTTCTTGCCTGTATTGTGTGTTTCTTCCTATCTATTCCAAAGGGAGAGCTCATGTGCAAAGACAGTGGAGCAGTCTGGAACAGAGACTTGTACCAGCTCCCAGGGGCTGGGACGTGCTGCTCTGTGCTTGTGTAGCTGCCTCTCAGTTGCAAGTCAAGTGACTGTGACTCTGAAGACTCATCATTTTTTCTCCTTTCTTCTTCCTTATCCTGTGGCCGCTGTTCTCCTTTTTGCTTCATCCATGATGCTGTTCACCAGAAGGCGAAACAGCTGTTTGTTTACAGTGGTCTTCAAACAAACAAACAAAAAACCAAAATAAATACACGTAAGCAAAGGGGAGTTGATGGGCTCAGCTTTAACATACAGTGGAGTCACACTTTATCCCAAAGGAGGAAATAGGTCTAGCAAGTGTCTTCCTGTACAGACTGAATGGGAAGCAACAAGGTGGTGGTGTTTTTTTTGTAAGCTCTGTTTTTGCAATGTCTCTCCCATTAGCTGGTTGTGTGGGGCATCAGGTGTGGACCTCTGTCAGAAGCAAGAGCTATAGGCCCCTTAGGGCTCTCTGTGGGATGGAAGTTGCCCCAGTTTCAAGTTGTCAGCAGCCTCATCAGGTGGAAGGAACACTTTCCTGCAGAAAAGACAGGTCTCTTGGTGTGGCCGTGCAGAGAGGGCTACATTGTCTTGTTTGGTCCTGTCCCCCCTACCATTTGTCAGCCTTCTTGCTTAGTCACTTGCTCTCTGCTTTTCCTCCTTTTCACACAGGATGAATGTGACACTGGGGGGTTTCTTCAAAGCAGAAGATGATTTGAATGCTTGTGACCACTTCCCTGTTTCCTAGAGGCTTTGGTCCGATGTTGAATGTAACCTGAGGCTGCACTGTTTCTCAGCTTATTTCCTGTTTATCCTTTTTCCTGGAGGTCTTTGTTTTCTTTTGGGGAGAGGGAGGAAGGAGGCTCTGTCAGCACAACCTCCACACCGGGGCATTTGGTGTGAGCTGCAAGGGTTTACAGTCCTGAAGGCAGTATGGCATAGGGCATCTGTGCTGGGTGCTGCCTGTCTGATGCCCTGAGTTTCATAGGTGCTGTAGAAGAAAATCCCAACAGTTCCCATCCTCAGTGATGCGTTTTTTTTTAAGAGAAAAAAAAACCAACAAAAAACCAACCAGCCCAAAGCAAAAAAAAAAACCCAAAAAACAACCAAAAACAAGGCGGCAAGAGAAATCTCTCAGTATGTTCCTGCCTAAAGGCACTCTGCCACGGGTTTTCCCACAGGAAGGAGTGATTTGGCCCAGGGTTCTTATTGTTTCTATATCCTATTGCACATAGAAAGTTATGCTTCTGAAATTGGTGTGTGCTGCTCACGCAGTCTTTGTTTCAGTGGTGCATTTTTGTTTCATGCAAGAGAGTGGAAAATACATAGGTAAATAAAAGCATGCAGCAGCAGTTCAGTTGCGATCTCTAGACTGCTTTCAAAATTGGAAATTTTTAATATTCAGAAAATGGTTTTAGGGACAAGATCTCTGACTACATATATCTGCTTGTCTTTGGAAGAAAATCTTTGGATTCAGAAAAGAAAAATAACTGTTAGCTCATAGAAACTACGAAAGGCTGTAACAGTATAATATGTAGTTTTCCTTGTGAAAGAAACCAGCGAGCAATTTAGCAGGTTTTTATGAAATGGTAGGTAGGGTTTTTTAATGTGCATATAAGCCTGCCTGTTCTGCAGGCTCTCTGTGCATTTCCCATTTTCGATGTTGATAAAAGCAACACTAGGAATTTTCTGACTGTAGTTCTCTGGGAAGCTACTAAGCTGTCTTAAAGTTACCTTGGCAAACACAGGAGTCTTCACAGTTACACAATAGGTTTTTTGTTTTTTTTCCAGGATGTATCAGTGGTGACATTAATGTGCTAGGTATTGACTGAAAGAGGAATGATTATGTGTATTTTGGAAGGAATGGTGTATGTTGTTTGTTTAGGGTTTTTTTAAGGACTAAAGCACTTACTTTTTTTAACAGAAATACTTCAAAATAATTGAAACTGGTCCTTATTTTTGGTAGTGCTAAGCAGATGGAGCAAGCGCTTTTATATTTAGGGCAGTCTTGAAAGTAATTCAGTTGCTTATTCTATTCAAAAGTAAGTCAGCTACCACGTAACTGATTGAAGTAAGATGGGGGCAGGGGGAAAAGAAATAATTATGTTGCTCTTGAATGAGATGGACCTTTTTTAAAAACAAACAAAATAACAGTAAAGTTACAGCAGTTGCAACACTTAAACAAAGCCAAACAAATAAATGGCTCCCATAATTACTGGAGGAAACACAGAAGGATGGGTGCTTGGCCTCACCTTGGAGCAAGAAATCCCTGTGTCACAGGGATCACTAGTATTTTCTTAACAGAAAAGTACAAAAATAATTAGGGAAAAGTTACTTTGAGTTGTTCAGGTTAGTCTGTTTTTCTGGTTTTGAAGGTGCAGATGGAAGGCAGCATTTGTTGAGAGGTTGATGTTTTCCTGAGCCTTACGCTACCTGGGCTTAGTCAGGTCTCAGGTTTTGTCTCTAGACTGCATCTGTGTGCCACTCCTTAGAAGGCTGGCAGCTAAATGTAGGAAGGTTGAATCCACTGCTGTGTCTGGCATGGTGTGAAATGAGGAACCGCTTGACACAAAGTGGGCCCTTTCTTTTTGCTTGCCTGTTCTTGGGTGCTCCAGATTGTTGGCAGTTGGGGTAACACACTCGTTGATTGTTTTCAAGTGCTGTTCAAACAGCATTTGAAGATGTGTTGCATGACTGATTTGCATGTTATCCTTGAGAATATAATTTTTTAAAAGGAAGAAACCCTGTTAACTGTGGTTTGAAGGCAATTGTCTCTGTTCTCTTGATAAAAGGAAAACCTGTATTGAGCTTACTGGTTGTGGTTTGTAAATCTGAGATGATTAAATGTCCACAGTGTGCTTGTTTTTGTAATGAAATAGACATTTCGCTTGTAAGGTTATAAAGGTGTATTCTCTGTTAAAAACATATCAGTAGTTTTCCATATTACAAATAACCTTTTCCAGAGGCTATAGCCATGAGTGCTGTGGGCAGACAACTGTTTCTCATGTGTTGATCATTCCTCATCACTTCTAAAAATGATGTTTAACTGCCCTGTCATTCTACAGAGAGAACAGGCACCCTTCCTTAAACCCCAATGATAGCATGATAAGTTTGTGGTTTCAGAAAGGGGTGTGGAGGAATTCTCTTGGTACATACAATGGTTACTTACGTCTTCAACTTGTGTGGGAACCTTGGGTAGTGGAGGTGAGGAATGTGCCAAATGGTCCCAGAAACCTCTGTAGTAATTTTACCAACTGCTAGAAGGAAGAAGGTGGCCATCATGAATTCATGTATTGGAGTAAATGTTAGTCTTCCAAGAAAGAAGAGGGGAGCAGTGCATGTATGAGATTGAATCACCTAAATTCTCTAGGTGCAGAATATTCTTCTAGCTTCTCAATCAAATGTCACTACTGTCAGTGATAAGCTAGCTTGCTCTCTCTTCCTCCATTTTTTTGCTGCCTTAATGCTGCAACCAGGCTGGTGGGGGTTTCTTTGTTCGCCCAGGTTTTCCCACTGGTAGAAGCAGCAGCATCTCCCAGCCCAAGGCCTGGGCACTCATGAGAGTGGGTGCTTGGCTGCGCTGGCACTGCTGGTGTGCTTCTGTCATCAGACTTATGGTAGTCAGGGAAGTCCTCAAAATAAAGAGCTGTAGTCTTACTTTCCTAAAATGGTTTCCATAAAAGCTTACTCCCTTTCTCTTTTTTCCTTCTCCCTCATGTAGTGCTAGAGGGTGCTGCTGAAGAAGAGGCTGAAGAGCCAGACGCAACTGTACATACTACACTAAGTGAGGAGACCAGCAACCCAGAAGAGAGCCACAGTCAATCAGGGGAGAAAGATGAAGGTAATTGGTTCAACTAGCTCTGTGACTCTATGAATTAGGGCATTGATTAAAATGTAGAAACATTTCTCACCCATCCATATACCTTATTGTGTGAAGAGTACAAGATACATTGAGCAGAAGCACTGGTGCATACATTTCTTTCCCATCCCTAACTTTTATCTGTCTGAAGAGTATAAAATAGGTTGAACAGAAGCATGGGCACATAAATTCTCAGCTACCACTGCAGGCTTCCAAACAAAGATTTTCTTGGCTCACAGTAACTTGGCACCACATAACTTAGCCTCAAAAAACCACCTGTTTATAATCCTCAAACTTATGTTCCAAAGACAGTATTATGCAGAGATCAAATGTTCACAGACAAACGTGTTCCTCCTTGTTCACCCTCACATACTCTTCTTGACTTTCTCACAACATCCATTAAGATTCTGTGCTTTCCACCAGAGGTGACAGAGCAGTGGACTTGCAGGGTGTTCCTGTTTCTTAGGGAGACTTCTTGAGGGGGAAAGGAGTGTTTAATTTGAAAGGAGTGTTTAATTTGAAAGCTTCTTCTTTTTCAAACCTGTAAAGAAAATAGAAGGCCTTTCCTGTGTGTTTGATATGTCTGTATGTTGAGAAACCAGAGATGAGATTTTAGGTGTATTAGAGATAGGAGCATCCCTGCTACTTACAGCATGTGGTGGAGAAGTTTGAACCTCGACAGATTTAGCTGTGACATTAGTCATGTATGTAACACATATTCTCCATGGACTGGTATGGATTGGCATACCAAAATCATATATGTGCCATCTGTGGCAGTAAAGAGGCAATATGGGGGATACAGGGTTTTGTTTTGGTTGGATTTTTGCTACTTTAGCTTATTCCATATACAGAGTGGGCTTAAACCATGCTTAAAAGAGAACCCAGTACCCTACACTGTGTTACTAATGCCTTAATTGTGCAGTTCTGTTTAAAACACATGCCTCTTTGAATGATTGTGCTTGCCAAAGTGTGCATTTATCAGTAGTGCTCTACTATTTCATGGTGATCACAAGGCACCACAAATAATTCCATTTCACAGCAAGAGAGTATAAAGTAAATCACTCTATAAGCTCCATATTGAATTAAGGTTGAAAATTAAGAAAATGGGCATGTGCTATGAGAAAAATGTACACTTTGTCCTATGCATTCCAATATGAAAATCGTGGAGTCTTGTCCTGTTATAAGAACTCCACTTATTATGGCCTATTGCCTGTGCTCCATGGTGATCCAGCAGAGTGTGATGTGAGTTACAGGCAGCTGAAAATACTGTGGGTTGTTTGGGGTTTTTTTTTAAGATGCCCTAGGAACTCCTATGTGTGTTTTTGTTTTTAATTCCAGAGAAGCAGCTGGAAAGCTTAAACAGCTATAAGGTATCACCAAGTTCACCAAACAGTTTGGACGGAGCAGACTTGTCCTCCATTGATGCCATGATGTCAGCAGTGATGAATGTGGGGAAAATAGCTGAAAACGGCGGGAATTCTCAAAATGTCAAATCTCCCTCAAAGTCTCCTGCACCAAATCGGATTGGCAGGAGGAACCAGGTACATAAACCCAAATGCAGGGAGGGCAAGCAGCTGCCTGGAAAGTGATAAGATGTAATTTATGTTTCTTCGATTGTTTTGCCTTTTCTCCCCTCAGCGGTTGTTTCTTGTTCCTCTGTGAATGTTTTCTGGTATCACTCCAACCATAACTTAAGAAAACTATGAATGAGAAGGGTCCACGTGCTTGGATTGACACATAAAAAAATTTGAGCATGAGCTCCAGTGCCATGCAATGTTGAGCGGGTCTAGCAGATGCCCCTAGCAGCAACAAAATCACCTAAGAATTGCCATTTTGTCCTGCTGCATCCTTTCTCCAGGCTCTTGCATTCACATAATCTCATGAGGTATGCAGCTGCCCCGTGGAAGGTTCAAGTCATTTATGGTTAAAGGTGGTTCTGGAACAAAACATTCATCAGGATGCTCAGTTCATATGTGCAGTGTAAGGTGCCCTTCGCTTCCTTGTTAATAAATGCCTGAAGAGCTAGTGCAGAATGCCTTGTATGAATTTTGCAGAGTAAATATATGTAGCTTTTATCAGGTTTTTTCCATTTTCCCGTTGATGGCACCAGGTGGTAGCAGTATTGATGCAAACAAGTGAAAGGAGAGAGTCGTATCAGTTAAGCTGTAGTTATTTATATCTTTGTTTTTCTCCTGCTGGGCCAAGCTCGACCCAACAAGGTGCTGCAGAATATAAAAAATAAAAAAAACCAAATCCCTGTGGTCATTTGACTTCAGAGCTTGAGGTGAAGCACAGAGACTTTGTAAACGAATCAAGATGTAACAGGGACCAGAAAGGTTGAGAGGCGTGACTCATGTGATGTTCCTATAGTAGTTTATTAATAGCTTGCTGAGTAGCTGCCCAGTTGATAGACTTATGACTTGTCTTGGATTTTTTAGCGTGAAAGGAGTTAAAAGCCATTAGCTGTAAATGGACATCTTTAAATGAGGAATGGGCAGTACACAGACAGCTGTGTTTGTGGGATTCTGTTGTCTAGCACCTGGCTCTAAGTTGTATTTACAGTGTTCTCACTTAGGGGCTGCTCTGGTTCCTTGATTTCATCATGTGAAGAGAGGCACTGGAGTCCAGACCAGTCTCAGGGCAGTGCTGTTACACAGCTGTCCACCGGTACACCATGTGGTCTGGCTTCAGGGAAGTTTATTAGTGTTGGTGACCTTTATTCCACCTGGTATTTCGGTGGGCATCGAATCAAAGGAAGCTCTAGAGTAAATGCGACAGGATTAAGAGGGATTCTTACAGCATAAAAATAAACAAATACATTGAAAACATAGTAAATTGCCTATTTGTCTTTAGGCCGAAAGATTGTTAAAGCCAGAGGGGCAAATGGCTACATTACTGAGAAAATAGAAGTGAGATGTGAAATACTAAGTGGGTATCAGTCTTGTTAGCAGGCTCTAGTACAGCAAATTTCCACTTTCAGCATTAGCAGAATGAAAGCACTGAATTGTTTTAGTGTGTAGCAATGCAGGGACCTTAGATTCTGGTCAGAATATGCCCCTTATTATAATTTCAAGGATAATAACAGCTGATTTTCTGGGTCCTACTGCTGTTTCCCACGAGTTGGCAGCGAAACATTTTGCCCTGAACCTTTGTCCCAAAGTCTATGGTTCTCTTTATAATGCTGACTTTATCTTGGCTGCCGTCTACCCATAGTCTAAAAAGCATGTTCTCGCATCAACCTGCATGTATTTTAACTTCTCATTTGCTTTGCTCTTGAAGAAAATAAAAAATGTGACAGAGGTGTTTTTTGGGCTGGAGAAAAACAGACAGACTTAATGCACAGCTCCAGCAGCATTTGCCATCAGTTGAATGCAGAGCACTTGTGCCAGATTGACTTACTAAAGGGAGAGTAGCTGACAAATGAGCTGCTAATTTTATCTTTCAGTTCAAGAACTGTGTTTTCACCAGCTTGGCTCTGGTGGGGTAGCTGAATGCTGTGTTTTAAATTGGTGAATGGGGGTACTCTTACAGTAGGGATGCTAATGTTTTTTGGTCTGGATTGGGTTAGTCAACGGATTTGCTTGAGCTGTGTTACGGTATGCAGCTTGTAGCCTGTCTGACCACTGGAGAAAGTTTGGGTTTTAGTTAATAATAAACCTCAGATTCAATACTAATCAGCTCTGGCTGAGCTATAGTGTGTTTCTGATCTTTGCTTCAAGGTTGAACCAGTAATTACTCTATCTTCTGTTAATTCGCTGATTTGAAGAGAAGGCAGTCTGGAAAGCAGGCTTTGAAATCATCAAGTGCATCATGTAGAACTGCAGCACTCGTTTAAAGAGGAGGGGGACAAAAAACCAGTAGTGGGTTGATAATTTTGCAGAAATAGCCTGGGGATTAAACATCATCTAAACTGTCAGCACGTATGCAGGGATTTTCCTCACGGCGCAGTGTGTTTGTGCTCTGTCTTGAGCCAGCTTTTAACAGGGTGCAGTATAATTGGAGCTGAACATTACTCCACGGTCGGGTTGCATATAGTAAAATTAAAGTTGTATTAGTAGGATGGAATGAATGTTTGTGAATTACATGTTTGTATATAAAAAATGGGGGAGGGGCACTGAAATAATGCATTTTAATTTTCTTTGAGTGTTCAGACTTCATAATGGCAGCCTTCCTTGCTTTCTTTCTAATGTTTTGCAAGTGCTAGTACATTAAACCTTGGCCTGTATGTGTGGCCTATGGTGATTACCTTTGGGATGTAGAGGCTGAAATGTAGTTGGAAAAACATGTACAAGCAAAAGAATGGGGAGGAGTAGGAGAACCTCATCCTTTCATTTTAGAAACAAAGTCTTAAGACTTGTTTTCTTCAGAACAATGGTAAAATAGCTCTTTATCCATGTCCACAGGTCACAGAGGTAATTGCAAAATTATTATGGCCCTGTTTTTGAAAACAAAACATACTACAGATACTCTTTAGAATGGTTCCCCAAATCATGCAGGGGGGGATATTGCTTTAATAAGACATAAAAAAGAACTTTCTCTAACTCTCTGTCAGCATCTCACTATCCTAATGTGCCAGCGAATTTGTCACAGAGACTTGAGTTAGTCATTCACAATATTCTTTGTGAATGCTTGTGTCTGACAGCCTGGAAATGGTTGCTTCTGAGTTGATGACTTTGGAATATCACTGGGGAAAGAGAATTGTGTGGAGAGAGGAAATGCATAGACACACTCATACCCATCAACTTGCAGCTAAGGAGCTGCTGAGAATGGGTTCTGCTTTTTGCTTGTTTTCAAGCTTTTACTAATGATACTTAAGATAGCCACAAAGAACTTCAGTAGAAAATGTCACTTGGTATAAAAATTATGCTTTCCCATTGGTTATGCAGAGATGGTTTTTGTACTGTCTTGTCGCTAGAGGTATGCATCATTCTAATGGAAAACTGAGGTTTAATTTTGAGTGCCAAATCATCTTCCTTTTAATATTCAGGCGTTGGTGCATAAGCCATGCCTGGCTTCTGGTGAGGTTGTGAAAATGCCTTTTACATCATCCAGTAGCCGTCCTTGTGGACAAATTAAGGCAAACAGCTTTGGTTCCTGCAAGAGTGTCATTTCATCCTTGGCTGGAAGAGTGGTGGTTTTGCTCAGTGTCTCAAGGGCATACTTAAATCAGGTTGAGCTCTCCGGGTAGGATTCATTGTTTGTACTCGTGGTTTGACCATCAACTCCTCATTCTCACCTGGGTGGAGAATGATGGGGCTCATAATGGGTTTTTTTGGAGTCACGTACACTCCTGCATTGTCACCTCTTTCTTGCTATGATCTCATCAGATCTTGCGAGCTTCAGAAGGGTGGGGCCTGGCTGGTGTGCCTGGATGGGATGCTTCCAGCAGAAACACAGGATGCTGAAGGAAATGGTGCTGATGATTCAGTAAATGCCACTCTTCCTTCTGAGTCAGCCATGGAGAATATGCAGCCCCTACAAAAGGGCACCAAGATAGTGCTTTGCCATCAAGATGGGGTGGAAAATCCGAAGTTCTGACAGCTTGTGCTATTAAAAATCTTCGGGAAGAATAATGATGTTTGCCCATGTATTCTGATGATGTTCCAGGAATTACTTTTTGGTCAGCTGAATTCCTCCTGGCAGTTCGAGCTCCTTGCAATTGCCTTCACTTCCTGTCCTAAATTGCTGCTGCTGAGTATCTGTGTGTTGTTAAAACAGCTGCTGTACTTCTGTGATAGTTGAAATGCCCCCTGTTTATAAATTCAGAAGTTTCTGAAACTTGCTTGAGGGATCTGTCAGTTGATAAATGTGAGTTATTCTTTTAGCAGAGGCCTTTTGTACTTGGGATGGATTATGTTTTTCCATCCTCATCACTGACAGCTTTCTAGTCCTTTTACATTGATATTCCTTCTGATTGTTTTGTTCTCTTTTGTCCACAGGAAACAAAAGAAGAGAAGTCTTCCTATACCTGTCCTCTGTGTGAAAAGATTTGCACTACACAGCACCAGCTAACTATGCACATTCGTCAGGTATGCAGAGTACCAGCTCTTGGTTTCTTACTTTTATTATTAAGAGTTTTTCATTTGCCAGGTTGCATTTTGCAGTGGTGAGAAACAGTTCCCTGTGCAAGCCAATGAAATGCTTCATTGTTTTGCTTTTATTTAGCCTTCTCTTGCATTTTCTTCAAAAAAGCACACCCCACAAACCTAACCCTGAGGTGGGTAATTTTCCTCCCTTCCTTGCCTGGCATTCCACCCCCCCACCCAGTGCCTCAAACAAGGATGTGTGTCCTGTTCTGCATTGCTTAAGGTATCCTAAGGATCCGGAAAACCACTTCCATCATGAGGCCTAAGTCCTGTTTTATTATCCTGTTTGAGTACAGATCTTTTTACTGGTCATGCAAATTATGAAGGAGGAAGACACAATTTTTAAATCAACTCAGTGTAGAAGAGTCTCTCAGTCTTTCACAGAATATAGCAGTTTTGGGAGGATTTTTTTTTTTTTTTTTAACTGGATAATGCACTTTTTTGTCATCTACACGCCTGTTCTTGCTCCTCCTGAAATATATGCGTACTTAATAAGGAGGTTTGCCCTTTTCTCTAGCAGAAGGTTCTGCTTTGGATGCTAAGGTGTGGTTGATGACTGGCTTCACTAGATACTTATTACTTCAATTTTTCCTCCTGTACTGTAACTGTTACTTAATTATTTTTTTCTTACTTTCCTGGTGATTTTTTGGAATTTTTTTTTTGTATGTGAAGAAATTTTCAAGTCTCTGAATGCAAGTGAGAAAGAGTGGTACATATAGCACAGTAGCTAATGGCCATAACTTGACCTTGTAATGCATTCTTCTGGCCGTAGAAGTCTGTTTGTACACTCAGAAGCAGTTTAGTTTTGTTGTCTTGCTCTGCAGTAAGTTAAAAATTAATAATTTTTTAATAAAAATTAAAGAGAATTTGTTTTTAAGTGTCTGTCTTCTGCTGTGAAGTTCATAATTCCATCCTCTTTCCTTACCACTCATACAGCCCCAAACCACTGCACAGCTTAAAGTACCCCAAGGTCCCATTTGTGTGATGGGTTGTTGCTGAGTCCCTCTGTATTCTCTTCTGCTGCAACCCCAGCAGAAATGCTGCATTGCAGGCTGTGTGAAACAGCTACGTGTGCTGGTGCATTAAGGGTTAAAGATGAGGGGGGAGGAGGGGGGCTGGAGTTGAGGGAGGAGGGCTGGGGAGGAGAGGTATCTACAGGGCACACCCTCATATAAGGTGTTGTGCCAAGTAGCTCTTTAGAGCTGCTTAATTTAAGATGTTTATAGTTCTTGCTGATATTTTATTGGCACTTCAGAAGGGGCATTCAATGAAAAAAAAAAATCATTTCTTTCTCCAGCATAACACTGACACTGGAGGGACAGACCATTCCTGCAGCATCTGTGGAAAGTCTCTGAGCTCAGCGAGCTCCCTTGATCGCCACATGCTGGTGCACTCAGGTGAAAGGCCTTATAAATGTTCAGTATGTGGACAGTCCTTCACCACCAATGGAAACATGCACAGGTGAGTGCTGATTGTGTCCCTGGAGTTTGGAAAGGATTACAGCAGAGGGGGCTGTTTTTTTTCCTTGGAGGGACTAGCAAAGACACTTGGGCAAAGTGTCTTTAGCAAAGACTAAAAACACTTGGGCAGGAAATGTGGAGTATCTGTGACCTACAAATGTGGCATAACACACACTACAGCTACTAGGATGCTTAAGTAGTGGGAGGAAATCAGAATTGAGTAAGGTCTTCTAGCTTTCTTTAAGTATTATCAAGAGTTGTTACAGCTTTTTTGTCTTTTTTTTTTTTTTTTTTTTTTTTTTTTAGTTATAGTAGTAGTATGACAAATGGATTTTTCTCAGGGATAAAAATATATAGCCAAGCTATATAGTAGTTTCTAATTCCATTGCTTCAGAGTCATGGATTCAAGTGGTTGTATTGGAACATCTGGGGTTTTGTTGGTGTTATGTACTTAAGTATCCAAGTGCCATCAGGAAGATGCCTCTTTGGTGTTTTTATCTTGTTTCTAAATACATATATCAACATTTGTTTGCACTATAGACAACTTAATGCACTATAGATCTGGCAAAGTCTCTGCAGTCCAAATTTCCAAAAGTAGTTTCTATTGTAGGGATGTAGCAATATGTACAGTTGTCAACTGGGGAAACAAAATGTTAAAGCACATGGATTTTCCTTCCCCTCTCTCATCCCTTGATTCAGTATTCATTTATTTGCATGGGTGGAACATCTCAGAACGGATTAAGATGCATGGATTCCCACATAGCTTTCTTCCCTATACCTACAAAGAAACTGTAAGACAGGTGAGGGAAAAGAATATTGCTTACAAGCAAAAGGGCAGGAGTGATGGTTACAGACTGTTTCTGTGTGGAAAGGAAGAAGTCTTGTTTCCTTGGTTATTTCTAATAATTTTCCAAGCAGTGTGCTGTAGGTGGAATGAAAGGGTGATTTTGATGACAGTAGGAAAGATAACATAGTCCTGCACAATGGGAGCAATACCTGCTTGCAGCGTTACCTTCTCTGTATCATTTCGCTCCTGTTAAACACTTGGGTGAAAAGAGAGGGAATGTAGTTTTGTGGTTCTGTATTTATTTAACTTAAGATTGATTAGAACTGAAGAGAGCTAGCAAGACAGATAAAAAATGAGAAGGAGAGAACACAAAGAGATACTGGCCTTGGGCACTGAATAAATCACACATGTGACTCATCTGACCAGAGGTGTTGTGAGCCACGTTTGCCAGGTCGGGTCATTACTCTGCATGACGTGGGGAAGGCAGGGCCACTGCTGAGTTGCAACTGATGCCATTGACAGTGTCCAAGGGTGACTTCCAGTGGTGGAACTCTAGGATGGTCAGGCACTTGTGTCTGAATGGCTTGCTGAAGGACTGCTTGTGTGGTTTGAGTTTTTGCTCACTGGGCATCTCTTTTGCTCTCCTAGAAGCAGGAAGGGGAGGCTTCCCCTGAAACTTGACTCCAGGCCTGTAAGAGATTGATGTAGTCACCTTTGCTTATACAGGTTTCCCCATATAGAAATTCTTAGCATGCTTTTGTAACAAATTTATAGCCAGAATTGCCAGACTCAGTGACTTGCCCAAAAGAGTTAGAGATCAGTACCTTCTGATGAGAAGATGGTTTGGTTTTAATTTTTTCTCCTAACAAGATGATGCCTGAAGTTACCAGGATGGAGTGCTGTATTTACTGACTGCACTAAGAAGGACCTAAGTTCATGCAAGGAAAATCTTGATATTAAGAGTCTTTTTGTCTGATGGGTGCCTGTTGGTTCTGTTAAGCTCCTTCTTGTGCACGGCTGCCCTGCAGCAGCAGAAGGCTGTTCCTGAGTTTGGAATCTCTGCAATGAGTGACCCCAGACCCATGACAAGCAAAATCCTGAGCACACTGAAACGTGCTGGTTCTGCTAAGGGAGAGTTGTGGTTGGCAGACTGTGCCTTCTGGTCTTTTTCAGTGAATAAACTTTTCTTGCTATAACTGACTGTAATACTGGCTCTTGTTGCTGAAGGAAGGCATGAATGTGCAAGCAGGCAGATGAGGATAAATGCAAAGTGAAATCAAATTTTTTATCTGATGCTATGACATACTCACAAGGAAGATGTTATTTTGCCCACCAGTACCTCCTTCTGAAACAGGTATTTCTGGTCTAAGATGGTGTGAAGTAAATTTCTTTTTCAGGCATCTCAAACTTAGCTGTAGCATCATTTCCAATGGACTGTCAGTGCTGTGGCTGAATGCGTCTCACTCAAAACTGCTTCTGCCTCAGGATTCCAGAGCAAGGACCTGTTTGCCAGGTCCTGCCTCATGTGTAACTCCTGCAGGCCACCTCTGTGGTGGTGCCATGTCTGTTCTTCTGTACCAGCTAGATGATACTACAAGTCCATCTTTCTTGTCTTTTGTTTGCAGTTCTTTTATTCTTCTCTATTTTTGTGCTACAGTATCTAAGTAGTGACAGATGTATGTCCAAACTAGCAAAGAAACAACAACAAAAAATTTCTCATGTGCCCCTGGTAGCCAGCAGGGTGGTATCCCTGGACCATGGCACAACATGGGGTCAGAGAGAGGAGTTACAGGTTCAGCAGAAACTTGTGATGTGCTGGTAAGGAATCAGTGTAACTTGCGAAGGTCATGCAGAAGCTTCCCAGGATTTACTGCACTTGCACCAAATATGCTTAGTTTATAGGAGATGAGCAAGGGAGAAGTTGGTCTGCTGGTATCTGAATGGTGGGAAAAATGTGTAGGCTTATGCCATGTCCATCCTCTCTTCTCTTTTTCCCCCCTGCCATGTTCTGGCTCTTATTTAGCTGTCCATACTATTTTTAAATCCAGACTTTTAAAAGACCTTTTAGGGGAAAAAGTTTGATGGAATGGTTTTGTCCAGGGAAATACTGTGCCATTGGGAGTACTTACTGCTGTTCCATCACAGAATGAAATTTCTGATCAGTCTTTCAGCCTCAAAACAGCCACATCATTAGGCATTCAGCTGAGTAGAAGAGGGAAGGAGACAAGTTTTGGTTGCTTTTTTGGGTTAGAAAATGATTACCAATGTTGTTACACTCTGAAGTACTGACCATCTCCATCAAAAGTATTTTTTTCACCACCTTCACTTTACCAAGGGAGAAAAAAAACTCCAGATCTCCTACTTTATGCTCTTTTGCATTACAGTAAAACTACTGTGCAACAGATGAACTTTTTGTGGTGTGAGTGAGAATGCTGTTTCCTGCACATCTCTTCCTTGAGTTACAGTAGCTGTGCTGGGGTGTTGCATGTACTCTTCACTTGTGAAATCGATGCTGGCCTTCCTGACTCCCACAATACGTGCAACACTTCATTTGTAAATGAGTCATAGCCTCTCACATGAAGTCCAATTTCTTCTTGTTGTGCTCTTTGGCTCCTGGTCAGCAAGTTAAGTTGAATGGGCACAGCAGACTGGGGTGGAGTGGGAAGGTTCTCTTGTGCAATACTAGTAAGAAAATGAGGTTAAAACCTGCTTCCTTTTCTGACCAGTGTTACTCTTGGCCAGGATTTTCAACAGGGAACCTTGAGCCCAGGGTATCTCAGAAAACTCTCTTACTGGCTGCCAAGCTGTTCAGGAGTGACCTGTGGGGACAATCATATTTGGAGAGAGCAAAGGTCTCTTGAGAGTGCTCAATGTCCAGAACAAAAAACTGATTTTCTCATTCTTCCTGATGTGCTGTCAGACTGCCATATCAGTGCTGCTCCTACTGTTTGGGGACAGTTGGTGCAATCTGATACAACAGCTGGAAGATCTGTTAGTGCCTGGTATCAGTATCAGGAATTGCTCTGGAGAAGAACACCTGGAGATGATGCTGAGTTTTTTAGAGTTTTGTTTTTGACTAGTATTGGAAATAGCAAGTCTTCTTGGAAATAGTAAGCCCCTTAGAATCAGAAGCTGATTAGAGATTTGGAAGCACTGTTTTCTTGGGGCTTTTTAAGAATCTGGAGAAAAGAGTTAGATTGTGGTAGTTTTGAGTTCAACATTCCTGTAAGTGGCATTGTAATGATCCGTACATAAGAAAATCTGCAATTTAGGATACGCCTTATCCTCTCCCTTCTTTGCTAGAGAGACAGACCCTCTGGCTTTCTCTCAGTCACAGTGAATTAAAGTTGAATACTCCTATCTCCATCAGGAACATAAACTATATAGAGGGGAAGGGGGTGTATAAAGAGTTTCTGTACTGTGTAAGAGCTGGGGATTTCCAGAGTACAGTCTCCACTCAGAAGATTGCAACTACTGAAGACTTTCCAAAGGTTTTCCATCTGTACTGTCATAGTAACTCCCTAGGGAGTTTATCTGTGAATAATCCCCACTCCGAGGAGTCATTTTGGGTCTAGATTCTGACACCAAATAGGAGGTTTCAGTCTGTTACTCCATCTCTAGCACTGCCTCTCCCCAAAATGCAGACAGAGGAGTTAGGCTGCTGCTGTGGTTGTAGTGGTGGTTTGGGAGCATTAAGAACGGACCTTGAAGTAGAGAAAAAAATTTTCCTTGACTTACTGTGTTGCATTCAAATAGAATGTGCATCAGCCTTCAGTGGGAAGGGCGATGCCTCCACTTTGCTCCAAAAGTGTTTCCTTTGGGGGTAGGATACTTTGCCAGCAGTTCCTTTTCCATTTCTGTGACTAAGGATAGTCCATGCCTATCACTTTAAAGTCACATTTTCCTCCCTGCCAAAGACATGCTCTCTGTGCAACTAGAAAATGTTAATGGGGTATAAATGCCAAAAGGGAGGCGAGAAATGACCTTCCTGCCAGTTTCCAGTGGGAAGCTATTAAAGGCTCTGTGGCAAGTCTGAAAAGAGTAAAGGGATAGCACATGTGTTTCAGGCACAGCTCCCCAGTTTGGTAAATGAAGGAGCATTGTCCATGGCTGGTTTTCTCCAGACTGTCCATATAAGTCCAGTAATGCAAACTAACTGAAGTGTTTCATTTGAAACTAAAATGTAGAAAGTATCTACGTTCTTTCTCTTCTTC